TGGTCGGTTGTGGTGCCTGAACTCTGGGCCTGGGCACTGTCCCTCAGTTCTTCAGCTCAAGGCTAACGCTCTACCAATAAAGCCACAGCTCCACTGCTGGCTTTTTCTTCTGGTGCTGAGGAATTGAACCCAGGGCCCATGCATGCAAGGCAAGCACTCTACCACTGAGCCACCTTCCCAGCCCCAGGTGCATTCTTATTCAATCCTAACTAATGACAAGTGCTACCTATCAAATATCTAAATACAAAATGCATGCATATAGGCAAACTCAGGTTAACCAAAAAGTGCTCATAATTTATGCAAATTGGTATCATCTCATATGGCAATATAGACTTTTTTTTTGGGGGGGAGGGGTCAGTCATGGGCCTGAACTCTGGACCTGGGCACTGTCCCTCAGCTCTTCAGCTCAAGGCTTATGCTCTACCACTTGAGCCACAGCACCATTTCCTGCTTTTTCTGTTTATGTGGTGCTGAGGAATTGACCCTAGGGCCTCATGCATGCTAGGCAAGCATTCTACCACTGAGCCACCTTCCCAGCCTGACTTTTTTTTTTGGTCGATCGTGGGGCTTGAACTCGGCCTGGGAGCTGTTCCTGAGCTCTTCAGCTCAAGGCCAGCATTCTACCACTTGAGCCACAGTACCACTTCCAGTTTTCTGGTGGTGGATTAGAGATACGAGTCTCATGGACTTTGTTGCTCAGGCTGGCTTTGAACTGTGATCCTCAGATCTCAGCCTCCTGAGTGGCTAGGATCACTGGCGGGAGCCACCGATGCCCGACTTCATTTGTTCAGTTTTAAAATATAAGCTAAAAGCCCACTTGTTTAAAAATAGAACACAAAAAAGCCTTTCTTACCCGGGGTATGAAGAATTCATCAGCACTGAACTTATAAAGCCATTCATCCAAAAAGTGAAACAGAAGAGATAGTAAGTCATCTCCTACATAGGATCAAAAAAGGCCACAACAGTATGCTTAATCATTCTGGTCAGTAAAAATTTGTTTCAATTTTAAAGGACGGTGAATTTTTTAGCTAGTTTATGGACTCATAATCATTTTGTTGTTTGCATTGTGAAAAATTACTCAGATCAGGGAGAATATCACACATCTGTCTGCCAAATTTTTCCTTATAAATAAATGTTACCTTGAGTTTCCACCTCGACTGTTTGGAGGGGCTCCACAGTCCCAGTATCTGTCATGTAGCCAAACATGGCCATTGCACATTGCTCAAATGCTTCCTCCAGCGTATCTCCCCAAGCGTGTAACCTAATGAAATACACATGCACCTTATGTAAGGTATTCCATTGCAACAGACCAAACTCAACAGCAAAGTCAAAATAAGATCAGTACAAGAAGTACAAAACTAAAGCTCTAATTTAATAGCACCAAATTTGGGAGTTTTTATTTTCCTCCCAGGAAATGAAAACATGTTTTCTTTTTAAAAAATAATAATGCAAAGCCGGGCGCTGGTGGCTCACGCCTGTAATCCTAGCTACTCAGGAGGCTGAGATCTGAGGATCGCAGTTCAAAGCCAGCCCGGGCAGGAGAGACTGTGAGACTCCTATCTCCAATAAACCACCAGAAAACCGGAAGTGGCGCTATAGCTCAAGTGGTAGAGCGCTTGCCTTGAGCTGAAGAGCTGAGGGACAGCGCCCAGGCCCAGAGTTCAAGCCCCATGACCAACCAAAAAAATAATAATAATAATGCAGCGGTGGCTCACATCTGTAATCCTAGCTACTCAGGAGGCTGAGATCTGAGGATCATGGTTCAAAGGCAGCCAGAACAGGAAAGTCCTTGAGACTCTCTCCAACTACCAGAAAACCAGAAGTAGTGCTGTGGCTCAAGTGGTAGAGCACTCACCTTGAGCTGAAGAGCTCAGGGACAGCACCCAGGCTCAGAGTTCAAGTCCTACAACCCTCAAAACAAAACAAATCCTCACTATTAGATTGTTAGGGTTTTTTTGTTTGTTTTGGTTGGTTGTAGGGCTAGAATTCTGGGCGTGGGTGCTGTTCCTCAGCTCTTCAGCTCAAGTCAAGCACTCTACCACTTGAACCACAGCACCACTTCCGGTTTTCTAGTGGTTGACTGGAGGTAAGAGTCTCAAGGACTTTCCTGCCCAGGCTGGCTTTGAATGGTGATCCTCAGATCTCAAGCCTCCTGAGTAGGATTACAGGTGTGACTCACCAGCACCCAGCTTAATGAGGAAATCTTAGACAAACATAAAATGAGAAAAAAATTCAGACATTACCTTTCTATGTAATGCAGGCTTGCCTGGACTTAATTAATTAATTGTGCCAGTCCTGGGGCTTGAACTCAGGGCATAGGTGCTGTTCTTGAGCTTCTTTTGCTCTAAAGCTAGCACTCTGCCACTTGAGCCCCAGAGCTACTTCTGGCTTTTTCTGTTTATGTGGTACTGAGGAATCGAACTCAGGGCTTCATGCATGCTAGGCAAACACTCTACCACTAAGCCACATTCCCAACCATTGCCTGGAATTTATAATCTTCTTATCTTAGCATTCAGAGTGGCATCTATCTGCATTCAGGGGAGAAAATTTGGGAGTTTTTAAACCATCATTTTCATATATAAAACTAAATTAAAGGAGAAAATTAAAGAACTAGAGACATTAAAACATTCAGCTTGGGCTTGGGATATAGCTCAGTAGCAGAGTGCTTTCCTCGCAAGTGCAACGCCCTGGGTTTGATCTCCAGCACCAAAAACAAAAAACAGGTAAAACATTCAGACTTCCTATTTAAAGACAGTTTCAAAGGAACAAACTCAAGCTATACTCACTGAACATCTGCTGTATGATCCAAATCTGAAAGAGAGGAAAAACATCTGTAAGTCAGTAATATTGACTCCAAATCATAAGAACTCTAGGAAGGCTGGGAATGCGGCTTAGTGGTAGAGTGCTTGCCTAGCATATAAGCCCTGGGTTCGATTCCTCAGTACCATATAAACAGAAAAAGCTGTAAGTGGTGCTGTGGCTCAAGTGGTAGGGCGCTAGCCTTGAGCACAGAGAGGCTCAGGGACAGAGCCCAGGCCCTGAGTTCAAGCTGCAGAACTAGCAAAAACAAAAACAAAAAACAAAAACTCTAGGGAGGTAACAGGCAGTGACATGCTGAGAAAAACAAAATACAACAATAAAAAATCTATTTCATTATTACTCACTATTAAGAAAATCATCCTAGAGTCGGATGGCAGTGGCTCACACTCATACTCCTAACTATTCAGAAGGCTGAGATCTGAGGACCAAGGTTTGACGTCAGACAGGACAATCTCTGAGATTTTTTTTCTTTTTTCTTTTGGCTGGTCATGGGTCTTCTGGATTCTGGGGGTTTATTTGAAATAAAGAGTCTCAAGGAGGGCTGGGAAGGTCGCTCAGTGGTAGAGTGCTTACCTTGTAAGCATGAGGCACTGGGTTCAATTCCTCAGCACCACATAAGCAGAAAAAGCTGGAAGTGGCTCAAGTGGTAGAACACTAGCTTTAAGCTGACGAGCCAACAGACAGCGCCCAAGCCTAGAGTTCAGGCCCCACAACAGATTTAAAAAAAAAAAAAGTCTCATGGACTCTTCTGCCTGGGCTGTCTTTGAACTGTTATCCTCACATCTCAGCCTCCTGAGTAGTTAGGATTGCAAGTAGGAGCCACCAGTGCCTGGCACATAATTTTAATTTTTTATTTGTTGGTTGTGGAACTTGAACTAGGGCTTGGGCACTGTCTTGGAGCCTCTTTGTGCTCAAGGTTAGCACCCTATCACTTGAGCCACAATACCACTTCCAATATCTGAGATTCTTATCTCCAATTAACTACCAAAGAAAACAAAAACAAACCACTAGAAGTGGAGCTATGGCTCCACTTTTCTGTCCGAACTAAGGACAGTGCTCAGGACTGGCATTAAAAGTTTTTGGGATGGGGAAAAACCAGTTGTTTAAGGATACAGGTGGACCTGTTGCAACAATGAGAAGTACAAGTTGTCATGTCCAAAACGAGCTTTACAACGTCGGTGCGGGGGGGGGGGGGAGGGGGGGGGGGGGAGGGGGGAAGGAGAAGGATTGGGATGGGGGGGGGGGGGAGGCTGGGAAGGGATGGGAAGGGTAAACAAAGGAGGAGGCTGCAATGCTTGGTAAGAAATGTACGCATTATCCTGCCCATGCAATTGTAACCCCTATGTACAGAATGTTCACAAATAAAATTAAATTAAATTAAAAAAAAAGTTTTTGGCTTTGGGTTTTGGGTTTTTTGTGGGGAGGAAGGTACTGGGGTTTTGAACTCAGGGTCTCAAATTTTCTGAGTAAGTGTACTACCACCTGAGCAACTAAACAAAGTTCCTTTTTGCATTCATTTTGATTGATTGTCAGTCTTGGGGCTTGAACTGAGGGCCTGTGTGCTGTCCTTGAGCTTTTTTGCTCAAAGCTAGCACTCCACCACTTTGAACCACAGCTCTACTTACAAGTTATTTTTGTGGTTAATTGGCATCTCTTGGACTTTTCTGCCTGGGCTGGCTTTGAAGAACCATGATCCTCAGATCTCAGCCTCCTGAGCAGCTAGTATTACTTAGACATGAGCCACCAGCACTGATCTGCATTTATTATTTTTGAGATAGGATCCCACTTTATTCTCAGGCCTGCCTTGACTTTGATCTCCCCCTATATATGCTTCCCTTTTTCACTGTGTTAACAGCTTACTCCACTTTGCCCCACCTTTGTTTCTCCTTAGCTTGGAATAACAGGTGTGCCAATGTGTCCAGCACTTATTCATCGAGACTTATGATTTTTTTTTAAATGTGTGTGTGTACTGGGCAGGACTGAACTCAGGGCCTGGGTACTGGCACTTAGCTTTATTTGTTCAAGGCTAATGCTCTACTAACTTGAGCCACAGCTCTACTTTGGGCTTTTTGCTAGTCCATTGGGCCTAACAGTATCACATACTTTTCTGCCTAGGCTGACTTGTGTTATAAATATATTCTCCAAGAATCACTGGAGTCACATGATAAGCTCAAAAACAAAGAATTGTTTCAGCAAGGCAAAATTTCCTTCGGGAGAAGGGTGATCCAAAAACCTAGCAAGGACACAGAGCAGGCATGCTGTATCCCTAAAGCAGGAGGCCCTACCCCTCAACTCGTATTGGTTGGGCTCAGGTTCACAATCTAGTTATATAAGGGGACCTTTAAAGACTCTGAAATAAAATAGTACACAAGCAATCTCAAAATATAACCATACCTCTACTTCCTGAACAATTTGAGATATGTCTTCTGAAGTGTGTCTTAATTCTAATTAGGAAAAAAGCTTACGTTTCAAAAATCCTTTACATCCTAACGCAGTTCCCCTTTTCCTTGCTAGCCTCAGGACTAGCAAGAAAAAAATAAAGAAAAAAGAGAAATTAATATAGCCAAAAAGGCATGTAAAATTTTTACAAACCAGCCTTAGTGGTACTCCCCTGCAATCCCAGAACTCACGAGGCAGAAGGTCTCTAAGTTTGAGGCCTGCTAGGGATACACACACACACACACACACACACACACACACACACACACACACACACACACACACACACACACACACACACACACACACACACGAAGCCCATTGGGGCTGGGAATGTGGCTTAGTGGTAGAGTGTTTGCCTAGCATGCATGGAGCCTGGGGTTCAATTCCTTACTACCACATGAACAGGAAAAAGTCAGAAGTGACATTGTAGCCCAAGTGCTAGAGCTAGAGCACTAACCTTGAGCACAAAGAAGCTAAGGGACAGAGCCCAGGCCCTGAGTTCAAGCCCCAGGACCAGCAAAAAAAAAAAAAAAAACTACAGGGCTGGGAAGGTGGCTCAGTGGTAGAGCGCTTGCCTTGCATGCATGAGGCCCTGGGTTCAATTCCTCAGCACCACATAAGCAAAAAGAAAAAAGCCAGAAGTGGCGCTGTGGCTCAAGTGGTAGAGCGATGGCCTTGAGCTGAAGAGCTGAAGAACAGCGCCCAGGCCCAGAGTTCAGGCCCCATAACCGGACCAAAAAAAAACTACATAGAAAACTTAAAAAAACAAACCAAACCAAGGACTAAGCCAGCACTGGTGGCTAACACCTGTCATCCTAGCTACTCAGGAGGCTGAGCTCAGAGGATCGATGCTCAAAAACAGGAAAGTCTGAGACTCTTATCTCCAATAAACTACTCAGAAAAAGCTGGAAGTAGGGATGTGGCTCAAGTGGTAGAGTACTACTAACCTTGGGCCAAAGAAGCTCTGTGATAGTGCCACAGAACACATATGCATACACACACACACACACACACATGCACATACACACAGCTAGAGATGGTGTTGGTAATAGAGCACTTGCCTAGGATGTGCAAAGACCTAGGTTTGATTCCCAACACCACAAAATAAACTTAAAAAAAAAGTTTTTTTTTGCTAGCCCTGGGGGGGCTTGCTCTGGGCCTGGGCACTGTCCCTGAGCTCCTTTGTGCTCAAGGCTAGCAATCTACCACTTGGGCCACAGCTTCACTTCTGACTTTTTCTGGTAGTTAACTGGAGGTAAGAATCTCACAGCCTTTCCTGCCTGAGCTGGCTTTGAGTAGCTATCCTCAGATCTCAGCCTCTAGAGTAGGTAGGATTACAGGAGTGAGCCACTGGTGTGTGCCTATTTTTTTTGGGGGGGGGTAGAGGGGTTGGTCATGGGGCTTGAACTCTAGGTCTGGGTGCTGTCCCTAAGCTCTTCAGCTCAAGGCTCTACCACTAGAGCCACAGTGCCACTTCTGGTTTTCTGATGGTTAACTGGAGATAAGAGATAAAAGTCTCAAAGACTTTCCTGCCTCAGTAGGCAAGATGTAAGCCTGCTGAGTAGTTAGGATTACAGGAATGAGCCATAGGCGCCCAGTCTGGCTATTTTTTAAAATTATTTTTCCCCCCAAAATTTAACATCTATTTTCCACCAACAAAAAGGATAAAGTGAAGGGCTGGGAAGGTGGCTCAGTAGTAGAGTGCTTGCCTTGCATGCATGAGGTCCTGGGTTCAATTCCTCAGCACCACATAAGCAGAAAAAAAAAGGCCGGAAGTGGCACTGTGGCTCAAGTGGTAGAGCGCTAGCCTTGAGGTGAAGAGCTGAGGGACAGTACCCAGGCCCAGAGTTCAGGCCCACGACCAGACCCCCCCCTCCAAAAAAAAAGGATAAAGTGAAGCATAATCACAGAGTAGGATGACAGGGGTGGGAAGAGGGAAAGAGGGAGAAAAATGTGGGAAGGAACAACAAGTTAGACAATAAATGTAATCAATTCCTTACTTATATAACCACAACCTCCTCTGTACATCACCTTGACAATAAAATTTTTTAAAAAATCGACTAGATGCTAGATCTAAAATACACCTGGATGGACTGGGAAGGTGGCTCAGTGGTAGAGCGCTTGCCTTGCATGCTCGAGGCCCTGGTTCGATTCCTCAGCACCACATAAGCAAAAAGAAAAAAGCCGGAAGTGGCGCTGTGGCTCAAGTGGTAGAGCGCTAGCCAGCTGAAGAGCTGAGGGACAGCGCCCAGGCCCAGAGTTCAGGCCCCACGACCGGACCCCCCCCAAAAAAAAATAAATAAATAAAATACACCTGGACATAACAAATTACATAGGTCTCTAGGCATTCACACAATGAGACCAAAGGAGGATATTCTTAGGAGAGGAACAGAAAGGCATAAAGCCTATGTGCCTCTGATCATATAAAATAATATATATTGAAATGAACTCCAGGAAACAGAAACGAGTTTTTTTTCTTCTTTTTGGTGTTTTTGTTTTCTTTTCTTTTTATTGTTTGTTCATTTATGTCTTTGGAAGTGTTAAGGGAG